TAATATTTTGATTATTATTAATTTTTTATTGATTATTATTTAGATATACATATCCATTTTTATATTGAATAATTGTACTCAAAATAGCAAATCTATACTATCGTATAGCGATAATTTGCAATGATTGCACGTACATATTAATTTTGAGAAAAACACTGAAATATTCGCTAAATATTTTCACTTAAATTCCTTTTCAATTTTATATCTCGCTGTTGATTCAATCATGCTTCATGTTTTTTTATAAATTTCGCAATACATCTTCAACACGCATCTTGCGTTTTCATATGACGAAACGTGAATTTCGAATGTCGTTCTTAAATTCCATCGTATCTCGCGAAGAAATCGTGCCATTACGAAATATTTTCGACGGGCCAATCGCGTTGCGCAACGTCGGTATGAATTTTGAGGCGGACTGTAGGCTACATTCTTGTGCCACGAGCAAATAAAACGAGCCGACGAAGACAACATTATTACGGAACGCTGCCAGCCATTGCTCATGCCTTGCTTCCTTACGTATTTCCAGCCATATACATATACAAGGAGCCATATACATATACAGTACGCGAACGCGCACATTTAGCGACGTATACACATATGTATATATATTACATATATATATATATATATATATATATATATATATTCGCGTACATATTCACTTATGCATACACAATTCGCGATACAAGCGCGAACGCTCGGGTCTGAATTCGTTCTACACCTCTACAATATCGACAATAATTGAGTCTGCCTTCTAAGAGCGAAGTAGGCTCGTTAATTAGAAACTACATTCTCGTGTTTCCGTCACATCCATCACGCATCCTCACATGCTAAGATATACTCGCAACGATATAATTCCGGATAAAGAGAAATTCTTATCTTGTGCGATAAATTAAGCCAGGCATCGGTAAGATCTTCTTGCTTACACGTGTCGTGACAAATATATACAACTATAAAAAGAAAGTAATATAAAGTTGATGCCACAATCACACAAAAATAGTTTTAACATTTTTTTTTAAGTCGGTGTGAGGATGAATTATGTTTGCTTTGAAACAATCGAGAAACTCAGTTACATCTCTCTTGCGTGTTTCTTCGGGCAAATATATAAGGAAACTGTAAGATATTTTTAAACCAAATATATATATCTACTATTATATAGTACTATTTAAAAAAATATAAAAAAATGTTATATAAGAGAAAAGAAGAAATCAAAATTAATTTTCGATCACAATGCGGGAGAGGTGCAACGAACGTCGTTGTCATTAGATTGTACAGATCTTGAGGCCAAACCACCGTGTTAAAATATATGACTACGTTCAGTAGAAAAGAGAATAAGGGACTAAAATGGTGAAGAGCGCTACAATAGAGTTGGCACGCTCTATGGTCATAGAATCATGGCTGTCTATTCAATGAGCTCGAAAATAGCCTTCTTCTACAGATATCTCGTGGGATTTCACGAAATGGCATATTTTATGGAAGTGCACGACCTGCTGTACTTCTAATATCTCGTATCTGCATTGTCAAGCGCTAATTCTATAATAGTATAAAGGGAGGGAAAGAGAGACATGCGCTTAATTTGATATATCGCAGATCATTATTAATAATGTATATAGCGAATATAATTTTCATCTTTTAACTTTCATAAATGTAAATCTATAAAAACAAAATGAACATGTTGCAGATTAATTCGTTAAAACATTCATATTTATATACTAATAATTAATATCACTCTCTGATATTTTGCTTTCCAACTTTTTTGTCGATGGTTAAATTAATTTAGATACAAGTATAACTAAAAATTTTTTCTCGATTTAGATTAATGCACAAAAAAATGTAAAAAAAAAAATAAGAAACGCACAGGTAAAAGACTATACGATCGCGTAAGTTGAAGATCGTGGAAGCTGTGGGAGGTAGAAGCAACGGTGGTAAAAGGGTCGTCCAAGAGGTCACTGTCGAAGGAGTCGTAAGAGGGCGAGGAAAGCGGGTGGAGAGTAAGGAGGAAACACAGAAGGGATAGAGGGGCAGGGGTGCCCAAGAGGAGTAAGCGGAGAAAGGGGCAAGAGGTTGCCCTCCATGAATCACGACACGGAGGCTGATTTAGAGGCCCAGAAGTTGCCGCTATAGGTACTAGCCGCCTGTAACCTCCAGGTGAACTTGCTGCAGAGAGAGTGTATCCTAATGGATCTTATACTTGAAAATCTCGAATAGAGCTAACGATTATTTCTAAATTTTTATCGCAAGTATTTTATGATTACACGAAATAATTTCGATTTTTATCGATTAATAATTCACGGCAACATAATGTCAACAGGCTTCTCTATAGAAGAACTTTATGCACAACTGTGTTTTAAAATTTAATTTTTTGTTACATTTCGTTGGAATGTAATGCGAACCTCCTTTATCAATCTTCCAGTTTAACGCTATTATTTTTTTATAATATATGCATACGTATGTATGTCGTTGAATAACTATAAATGTATAGTATCAATAAAATTGAGCAGAGCATCGAGAACATGTGTATGATATATAATACAAAACTATTATTACATATATAAACCATGAAAATAATTTATATTCTCTCATGTACTCATTCCGACAACCGTCGGAAAAAAATCTTAATATTTTAATTTTGTTTCGATGCTCGTCGAAATTAAGATAAAAATAGTTTAACACTCACCAATACGATGTGCAACAACGGAGTTGTAGTTATATACGTTTTTCTGTAAAATACAAATATATGTCGATTATAAAGCAGTATCCAAGAGATAATAATGATTATATAACTCAATTTTTACATTCAATTTTTAAATGGATATTTAAAAAAAGTTACGTTATTAATTTATAAAGGTATTTTTTAAATATAAATTTTGATGTTTATATTTTTATATAAATATTTTAAAATCAAATAGACATGTTTTATGTACATTATATTGCACAATAATATAAAACAAATCACGTGGAGGTAAATGAGCAATTAATATATATTAATATATATTAATAATTTTAGAAATAGTAAACGATGTAAATTAAATAAATAATAAGTTATTTACCCTAGTTGTTTCGCGTGATGTTATCCCGGGCCTCCTCCTCCGCTTATTCATCCTTTGCTGCTCGTTTATGGCACTCACAAAAAACACTCGCGAAAACACGGTTAATTACGGTCGCGTGCGCGCACTAATCAGCTGATTACAACGATCGCGCGACACTTTGCACGGCACTCCCGACGCGCATTTTGTTGTACTCACACGCGACACGCACTTTGGTATATTGCGATGGGAGAATAACATGAAAATTATAAATAGCTCAAACAGGTCAATTTCATACGTATACTGTTATCTTTATGTTTACGCGAATAATATATATATTTTTTAGATTATCTTATATCTTGTGATATAAGTATAAACAAATATATACGAATGAAAATTGAAAACAAATATCCGCCGAACGTAATATTCGAAAATGTATCATTGTTTCTCGCATGATAGATTTATATTAAATAAATCATATAAAAAATACGTTTTAACAAATCATCGATATGTATAAACATTGATTTTTTGCTACGCGATTGGTATCGAAATATATAATAATTAATTACGATCATATATTCTAATTAAACACATGATCACGCACGATTCGTCATGTATTCGTGATATTTCATCAATGACTGAAAAAGTGGCAAATAACATTAGAAATTTTATACTACGCGACAGTAGGCAAGTTGAATTAATGATAATTTAAGAATTGAGATTATCTAAAAATATATTTAAATGTAATATGAATACATTCCGAAGAAATATATGTATATAAGTTATATAAAATCAATGTTTATTTAAATGCGAAATATCTGTTTCGAAATATCTGTTTCGAATATTATGTTTAACCAAAGCGTTAATTAATCAATTACGCGGATTGATAATTAGTAATATCGATTATATCTTTCAGTATTCCTCCCGATCGCGTTCCTCTAACGCGAATGAACGGAGCCATTGTTCGCTGCTCGAGTCTCGCGACGTGAATGGCAAGGCCACGTCATATAAACAGTAACGCGTCATACCTCCCTCCCTTTCTTCCTTTGTAATCGTCGTTTATACTATCGCTTAGGAAACCACTACGAAGAATATTTAACGCACAACTAATTTTTCACCACCAGAAAGAAGAGTTAACGCACTAAAAGATAAATTTATTTTGCCGAATATTTTATTCCATCCAAATTTATTATTCATAAATTGAATTAATTATTATTCATAAATTGAATTAATTATCATTCATACATTGAATTAATTATTCATAAATTTTGATTTATTGTGACGTCACAATTTCTCCGTACTTGCCCTTAAAAAATTAATCAGTATATTGAAATAGTTTTTCAATTGAATTTTTGTATCAATAACTGGTAAAACTATTTCAATATACTGATTTTCTTTAGAAGTGACTCTATACTTAATTTAACACTTGATTTGAAAAAGAGTGACAGAGAAAAAATTAATAAATTATTACTTTCTTATAATTTTGACATTTAATTATTTTTAAATAATATTTGGAATTAAATGTATCTCGCATTGTCGCTTGATATTAATCTAAATATAATAATAGTAATTTGCCCATCATTTTTAGATTGAAAAAGAAAGAGATAGAGAGAAAAAAGTAGTAATATATACTGCAAGATCAAGAACCGAATAATTCAAGTAATGAGAAATCGTGATATCGATTAATCGATTATTAATACCCAATTTGAAAAGTTCAAGGAATAAAATATTTCGTATAAATGTATTTTATATCGTTGAATATTTTGTGACGGTAACGTGTGGTATGTTGTGTTCGACCTTGTCCTTGTGACGTAGTACGGCGCGCTGTTGTTTATACGCAGTCGCCTTATTACCATTCACGCGGCGACACTCGGCTTGCCTATATCGTCGTATTACTTTCCGAAATGTGAGAGAGATTATCGTAGATTTATTCACGCTTGTAGTAACATGTTATAACGTTATATTTCAAAATGAAAGCATACTATTAATTAGCAATAAAGGTAGCATTTTCGCGGTCATAGAACTTACATAAAATAAGTTTTTCTTTATATATCTAGATATTTTCTAAGCTTTATTGTGTGTAAAAAAAGCGTAGCAAGTGAACACTCACACAATCAACGTCAAACACACACACAATTCAGGCGGACATCTTTATAAATTATATGTAAATTCCATGGCCGTGACAAATTGCGTACAAAGTTAGCAGCATGATTTTCGAAGATGTCGAGCAGATCGGACAATGGTTCTTGTCGCGATGTAACAAAGTACGCGTCGGGAGTGCCGTGCAAAGTGTCGCGCGATCGTTGTAATCAGCTGATTAGTGCGCGCACGCGATCGTAATTAACCGTGCTTTCGCGAGTGTTGTGAGTGCCATAAACGAACAGTAAAGGATGAACAAGAGACGAGGAGAAGGAGATTCAGGAAGGCATCGGACGACGGAGCAATCCTCAGGTAAATAATTTATAACTTGTTTAATTTATATCATTTAATACCTGTAAAATTAATTGCTTCACTTCCATGTGATTTACTTTACATTCTTGTGTAAAGTATTTTACATTATTGAACAAAATATAATACACAAAATAATTTAGATTTTATTTTAGAAAATATATATTCTTGAAATACTTATGAATCCTATTTAAATAATTAATATCATACATACATTATAAATCAATATACATATATCGAGAATTAAAAATATATAATACTTCGTCTTTCTACTTTAAATTTAATATTTATAATTATTTAAATTACTTACGTATAAAAATTTTTGTGTATTATATATACGTTTTTAATAAAAATTTATATATTTGAAGAGCATCTTTATAAATTATATAACTTTTTATTAAATATCAATGTGCATGCAAAATTTAATTACATCATAATAATTAGTTTTCGAAATATTTATTATTAGGATATTATTTATTAGAATACTGCTATATAATTTGTATATATTTGTATTTTACGAATCAACGCGTGAACTCTGCTGTTGCGCATTGTAGCAGTGTTAAATTTATTTTATAATTTAAATTCAGCAAATTAGCGAATTCTCAATTTTCGTTCTAAGAACGCTCCAAAACTTCAACGAGGTCGAATAAATTAGAACCAGTACCAGCCCATCGAAAGCATGGTACTGATAAATTTCCGCGCATGTTCTCGCAGACACGAGCTGCATATATTTTACATTCTCAATTCGGGATGAGCAGATTTATTGAGCTTCAGCGCCCAATATACCATTCAACCTTCCTTAACAATCTTTCTACTTCTTAACGTATATATATATGTGTGTCGTCTGTATATATTTCGTGCTTTCTATTGTTGTTGGAAATGTATCTGCCAGCAATTTATCTGCAAAGATTTTTAAATGTTAACGTAAGAATATATACTAGAAAAATATTTTATTCATTTTATTGCGCATAAAATAAATAAAAGTAAGCCGCATATTTTAAAATAAAAAATCACTTTTAGTAATTCGAATAAAATTATTTTTTTATTTTTTATTAATTAAACGTTTCTAATTCAATTTAATAAATATTATATGATCTGTAAATTCTTAAATTCTTTTGTTAACAATCTGTATAAAGATTAATTACATAAATATATTAAAATATAATATATATAATTTTATATTTTATGTGAATTCTCTATATTGGTATGTTACAAAATTAAAATAGCAATGCAAGCGCAAAAGATGAAAGATAAAATATACAATTATATATAATTTATATAATATTATTAATAATTTATATAATATTATTTACAAAAATATGTACAGACAATTCCGTATATATATAAATGTAATAATTCTGTAACGTGTGTTGTTTGTCAGCTAAATATATGGATAAATTAGTATTAAGCATATTGAAATGCGCTCGATTATGAAAAGTGCGAAAGAGTAATAGGATCAAATATGAGAAGCATGTATATAGAATAGGAGTAGGAAAAAGAGACAGAGGAGAGAGAAGTTATAAGAGAGCAGAGTACAGCAGAATGAGTAAGTGCGAGGGCTCGTCGCTTCTCCATTTCAAGCCTAAGCGCGGCCATTCATCAGGATTTCGGCGCGCAGACGTGCTTTATTACTGCTCGGTCGAAATTGCTATCCTACGACTCCATTCCGGTCCGCGAGCTTGCATACACCGTACCCAAGCAAGCCTCTTTCGGCATAGTCAGGATAATGCATTAGTGCCTTATATAAGATTCAGCCACGCGCAAGCGATTCACATTCTTAACCAGTCACCGGCACGGGTTAACTAAATTCAAATTATACCGGGGGATGATTGTATCGGTGGATCTTGTATAATTGCGTACATTCGTAATAATAAATACAGATTATAAAAAAATTGAAAAATTAATAACCAAATGTTATTATTATTATTATTATTATTTCGTTTGCCAAAATTTTATTTGGTACGCAGCTTCGATTTTCGAATTGTAGCGTACGGTTTGTTAAATTATTGTTATATCTCGACTTTAAAATGAACGGTATCCCTTTTTAGTTTCCCGCATCTAAAAAGAAATGAAATAATTATTACCCGTTGACATTTTTTTCCGCGATAAGAAATCCATCAGACTTCCGTTAATCGCTTCGGCTTCGGCAACCTGCTGGCGTGCAGTCGCGCGATTCACACGCATTCGCGCACATATGCTACATGATATACAAACATGGCTCGCGGTCGCGAACACGCGACGATTTCTCGCACGCACGTGCATACGTCGGCACGCGTGCATCGCATCTCCAACGCGCGTATAACCGAAATATACGAATGAAAAAGCTTAATGCGCCATTATTTACTTGATAGTGGACAAGGAAGGGGGGCGAAGGGGGAGGAATTCCGGCGAGAGGGGGCAGGGGGACTAGCACGTGTTTACGCGTTTATAACAGACGTGACGTAGAGTGGTTATATTCTAGCGGGGCGTGTCGACAGTAGAGGGTCGTCGGGTGGAGGGTGGAGGGTGGAGGTCGCGACGGGATCGCGCGAGGGGAGAGAGAGAGAGAGAGAGACGGCCGGAGGCGGCGGAGGCCGCTGTTTTGTGATGCAGCACGCACATTACCGGACCGTAATGCGGCCTCGTCGGGGCTCACCGGTTCATATATTTTATTTAGCACTGACACACACGGGGCCGAAATTACGCGCAGTTATTAATGAAACTAAACTATTAATTTAAATTCCATTGTTCCATTATAAATAATTACCTGTTAATTACCGGGCGAACCGGGCCAACCGGTGTAATGTGATTGGAAGGGAGGGGGAGAGATTGGGCGCTAACAAACACGTTCGTTGCACAGCGGGTTAATGTTACCGCGAAATATTTTTTTATCCTTCGAAAAGTGCGCACCTTGCGCGCCTTGCGCACCTTGCGCACCTTTCGCTTCCCGGTGACGCGACTTTGGAATTGCAGAGAGCCGATTAATCGATTAATCCGCGCGAGTTTATATATAATATTCCATAAATTTTTCATATCATTTATTAGGTCTCAACCTTCGTAATGTACGAGCGTGTTAAGCCACGCTCGTGAAATAATGAATGTAATTACTGACTATTAATTGGCATCCGCCACCCGTGCTGAAGCTTAATGAATTATATTTGCTTATTTTATAAGCATTATTTATCAAGTCATTGTGTATTAATAAAAACGTAATCCGGTTACGCTCGACTCGGATAAATTACGCGCAAGGTGTAAATATCTATACATTTGTCATCGAGAATTATTCTACTGCGTTCAATTTCCAATTCTCAAACTGCAATAATTAAATAACGATGCATCTCGCTGTCGTTATTTCCGCCAAGTTTCCTTTCGTCCCATCGTCGCGCATGGGAGTAAGGTAAGGTAAATATGCGTGCGTGCCAACGAGAGTATGCCCACGTGTCTCAGGACGGATTTAATTAATCAAAGCTGAGTCGCTGGCGGCCGGCGCTGATTGCTCTTGCGATGCACTTAGTCGCGTACACGTGATTACACGCCGTGAGATAGACAGATGAGGCTACGTGCCTGTAGTTAATCTTCCATACGTCAAACGGCACGGACGACACGAAGTGGAAGGTGAGGAGATATCCGCGTCGAGGACTCGGCGTACATACACAAACGACGCTGGTATCGATACAGCGGGTGTCTTTGCACGAGGTGACACCCGTGGCCGCGTGCTGCGCGTGAAGAGTTCGTGACTGCCATACGCGCTGACGTAGGTAGATGCGCAGGAATGGCATTCCGCGTCGGTGAGCAATTGTAATTGACACGAACGACAGAAACAGCTGTACAAGTCCATTTTATCACCTTATCCGGAGACGCATAAAATACGCGAGGATAATAAAAGCGCACCGTATAAGTTATCATTTAATTTCGCAGACGCGGGAGTTGGACGACGTTACGTCATCTTCCCGACACCTCCATGTGACACGCGGTAATCGAAATCGTAGACGACGACCGATCGCGCATAATAAAGAGGCGCCTCGAGTACGTGTTCGTCAACACGTATCAGGCCAGGAAATCACGATCACGAACGCTTTAACGCGCGACAACTCGATGTGGCGCCGATGACAGTTAATTATTCGTCGGGAAGAAAACATTTAGATTTTGTCGCTTGTCCCGTCCCTTTCCAAATTTCGCCGAGACTCGTCGCGCTTTCTCGACATTTTCACTAGGACCGAGAATAGAAAAGGAAGAACCGCGCGGAATAGAGATTACAAATTATATCTTCGATTTCGCTGGTAATGGAAAAGAATTATAAAATAGTGTCGCGCGAAGGGGATTTCGTATTTCGCGGTGATCGAATTTGCCATCGTTTCGGCGTTTAATATATCCGTTGCTCGGGAATACGGGAATACCTCCAGTCGCCTGCGAAGGGGTCAACGAGGGGGGTCGCGAGAGAAAAGCGAATCGAGGAGAGATGACGTAACGGAGACATAGTGCTGGCAGAAAGAGGAAAGCGCGATAGAAAGGCATCGGAGCGCACCGGCGCCCTGCCTCGGCTCCGCCGAGGCGCCGGCGTCACTTCCGCCCTTGCTCCTATTCCCCCCCCGCCGTCTCGTCTCGCAACTGTTCCCGCGGTTCCTATCTCGATTCAGGCTGCCCCTCGCAATCGCAGAGCCTTGAAAAAGGAGCAAGAGGAAGTAGGCGTTGCCCTCGCTCGCCAGAATCGCGCGTCTACGACCGCACACGGCGCACTCCGGCCACCGATAAATAAATATGAGATGCATCGGCTAAACAGCTCCCGGGTTGTTGATCTCCCGCGCGCGAGACTCGTGCGAGTCGGTCTTGCGCGCGGAAACTTTGTATTCTCGCGCGCACCCCCGACGTCCTCGCCATTCCGACGTTTCATCCGATCCGATATCGCGCAACCGTGATTCGACCGTGATGAATGAGACGTTCCTTTTCCAATTATCTCTAGTTTGAAACGCGTGCCTCCATTTAAGCGGACCATTACCCTCCTCGCCAAATTTCCTCCCGCGAAA